AGAGAAACATCGATGTGAGAGAGACATATAGAGTGACTGCCACCCACATGACCCCAACCGGGGCCGGGGACGAACTGCAACCAAGATACATGCCCGGGAAACCGAACCCGGGACTCTCCAGTCCGCGGGCCGACGCTTTAACCGCTGAGCCAAACTGGCCAGGGCATGATGAGCCGGATTTGGTCTGCCTTTTCAGAATTTCACATCCTGTTTTTGAGCAGTGTCTCTGGAAAGGTGTGCACAGTGGGTGTTCGGGAGCGGTCCGATGAATAAACGTCCGCTGTGCCGGGGCCAGACTCTTCGCTTCACCCACGTGTGCTTTCCTCACTTCCATCTACTCTAACCCTTCCCATCCCTCGGCAAGGGGCACTCAGGAAGGAGACCCCCTGACTCTCAGGCCAGGTGCGATGTGCTCAGACCTGGCGGAAAGCCCCGACGAGGTCAGGATCGCACTGGATAAATGCGGCCCCAGCAGCCCGGCGGGGCCCCAGAGCTGCCGCATACCGCCTCACAACAGCACGTGGTTACAATCTCAGAAATTTGGCAAGCTGATTATTGATTCCAGCATTATTAAAAATTAAATCATATAAACCTGCAATTAAATAAGCTATATTAAAAACAAAGGTAGTGCTCAAAATTCATCTCCTTCCAATGAGTTTATTATCAGCTTTGCCCTTCAGATAATTTCCAATTATGTCATCCACATGGCGAATATACCGTGTGATGGTCGGCTCTCCATCACCTTTCCCAACTCTGCGTTGAGCAGTATCTTGGTGGAGCTTGAAATTGGAAGTGGTAGGAGTCTTGACACCTGCTGTGGCTCTGCAACAGCATTTTAAAAAATCTGGTTCCAGGCCCTGGCTCTGCTGCCTCTTGCGACACAGTTGGATTATACTTTGGGAAGAATGTCATTTTGATGGTAGCCTAAGGCTCCTTAGAGATGCTTCGGGTGTTCAGCATCTGATGTTCAGATGGGAGAGGTAGGTACAGGGGTGGGTCTCAAAAGTGCCCCCAGCATACACATTTGGAACAAATTAGCTTTTACCTATCTATACACTAAAGTTTTGGATCTTTGCCATTTTGTTTGGAAAATCAAAACAAAACAAAACATAGCAGATCTATAGGATAAATTCCACCGAATATTCTTCTCTTGATACCCATAGATCTACTCTCCTTCCTTCCCTGCCCTGCTACTGCAGGAACTCTACGAATGGTACCAATCAGGGTCCCTGGCCTGCTATGCTCCCGAGGGTTTCAGCCAATGGGAGGCACTGGTGGAAGATGGGAGGAGGGACAAGAGACGGATCAGTGTATTTATGCCCTGCCTTCCTCCTTGCCAAGCTGTGGTCGGCATTGGCTGTGTTGAGTGGTACAGTTTTCTTTTTCTAATTACTGCTTCCTTCTCTTAGCCCTCTGTCCCTAGGGATGGTAACGATTTTCCCCTTCCACTGATGCCAGCCCAGGGTGCGTCACCCTCAGTTGTTGGTTTCTTGAACCCTGCCACACCTCTGTCCACAGCCCCTCTATTAGAGTGTCCACAGCCTCCCTTTTGAGCATGCTGGCTGGTCCCTCCTGGATGCTGACCCAGACCAAGTCCATACTCTTCAGTGTGGCTTACAAGGCCCCTCCCCCCTCCTTGCACCCTTCCTCCCGGCAGCTTGTCCTCCACCACCTGGGACTGGTCAACGTGCCCTCACATGCTCAGCCCTCCCAGCTCCATGCACTGCTCCTGCAGTGCCTGCTTCCACCGGCTGCAGGCACTTGACTCCGCCTTCACTGCATGCCAGTCTCCCTGCTGGGGCCTGGGGGTGCTCTTGGGCAGCAGGAGCGAAATACCCCTTCAGTCTGGCACAATTCTGGTACAGAGCCATTTGCTGACTCAAAGTGATGCCCAAAAGGCAACTCTTTCCTTCAAATGCCATCCCTGTTCGGGTATTTTCTTCCTTGGATGGGAGAACACCCAGGCACAGAGACAGTGTTGCTGAAGCCTCGGTGTTGGTTGGAAGAATGGGAAATACTTACCCTGCTCCTCCCACATTTGCTGACTGGGCTGGGTGCTCAACCAGCACCAGGCCTGCTTCTAGGAAGAGAGCCCTATTTGTTGGGTAGACAAAGCAGGTGAGCCCACTGTCATCAAGCCAGGTTGCCTTGTCACTGGCTTATCTACTCCCGAAACCCATCAGACAAGGAGCAGGGGGAAGCATCCTTTTTACTGGCCAGATGCGTCATCTTGCTTAAGGAAGCGAGGTCTGGAAATACTAGGAACCAAACCATTCTTGTAGTCGGGCCTCACTATCTCAACTTCTGTTCAAAACCGTACATTCAAGGCCTAACTATTTTCAGTCTGCTCTGTACTTACTATTCAGGTTATTCTGATTGATCATGGCAATGCTCTCTGGGAAATTCTCCACATACCACAGGCCTCCCAGGTCAGGAATCAATTAATCAAGAATTGTGCCAAATCGGGTCAGAAGTGGCCAGTCCTTCCTCCCAGGTCTGGAGAGCAACCAGCTCAGCATCACTGAAGGAAGGACGGACTCGCGGCCATTCAGAATCCGCCCTTCTCTGGTAATGCTGGGGGCTGCGGTGGCTTTCTCTGGCCTAGACCGTACGTCTCACTAACAGCAACTGCGTCTCCACTGACGGGAATAACTAAGCACCTCGTCCAGTGGGGCTGCACGTTAGAACTACCAAGGCCCGGGCCCCACCCCCAAAGGACCAAATTTAATTGGTTTGGGGAAGGACCTGGGCACTGGACTATTTACAGATATCCTTATGGGACTTTAATGTGCAACTAGGCTTGTCTAACCATATGATCCCGCTCATTAAAGAGGACCCAGAGACAGCGTCTGACTGGAGACACAGACACTGTCTCTGGTGTCCTGGGTGACTGTGAACTCCTCAGTGGCTGAGGCTGTGAGCTACTTCACAGTCAAATCCAAAACTAGCAGAACCCCCAGCACCGAATCCTCCCTTGGTTGGGGTGTGTGTGTGTGTGTGTGTGTGTGTAATTATCACCCTTTGATGTGGGTTATAGTTATAGTCCAGAGATCCAACTCACAAGCCTTGATCCAGACTCAGGCAGTTAAAGCCCATGAGAGAGGTTGATCGTTAGATGTCCCGATGCTGTGCTGGGGGAGGAGTGGACCTGGGGCTGGGTCAGTGGGCAGAGGCCTCTACTCAAGGGGCTGCCTTACTCACCTTGGCCAACATCACCATGAAGGAATGTGGGCCTGGTCTTACCACATCTCTCTCTTTCAAGAGAAGTCAGAAATCTGGATTTTCTGTTAAATCGCTTGATTTTTGAGTTGGGTTCAATTTCATTAAAACACACACACACACACACACACACACACACAATTATGTGGAACAAAAAACACTTCTGCTCCTTTGTGATAACGTGTACTTCCAAAGTAACGCCCAGCCCCACCATTGGGTCTACTTTGTAACAGCTGTTTTATAGGGTTTACCCCCGTGACCCTGTGGCTGCACTGTGGACATCACAGCTTGGCACCAGGAGTCTGCCCTGTTTTCCACCATCACAGCCAGCTTGGCATGGGCTCAGGACCCAGGCACATTTGCTCTTCCAGAGCAGGCCTTTGTAAATGGCTAGAGTTTGGGCTCAAGTGGGGACAAGAAGACAGAAGAGATGAGAAGTGTCTGGAGAGGGAATCACATTCCTGCCTTCTGAGCGTCCGGGACAGACCAGCCAGGCTGACGAAGTCCCCCTGGCCCCTCCCCAGAGAGCAATCCATAAACAGCATTAGGACTGAAGGACAAACTTTATTAGAAACGCACCTCGCTCCTCATTCATCAGTCAAATTCACATTAAAGTGGGGGGAGGCAGTGCCGGGTGGGGCTCTGGGATTCCACTGCCGTGACAATTCCAGTTAGAAATGAGTCTGGGCAGAGCGCGGCGGGAACAGAGGGGCCCGGCGTGGCGGCGGCAGCAGCAGCAGCGTCCCGGAGAGGACCAGGCTCGGAGCCGGAGAAGGTGCCTCCCATGTCCACCCTTCCAGTTACAAGGCTGCCCCCGTGCGCCCCAAGCTGATAAATAAACAGCGCATCACACACACAGCTGAAACAGAAACAAACTCGTACACGTTTCCTAAAGTGAAAAAATAATTTGCTCAAATAAAGCTTTGTGGCAATCAGGCTGCATCCTGAATGATGGTTGCCTAGAGACCCCCGGTACCCCAGGAAGGCTCCTCAGGCATCATCCACTAGGGTGTCCCAATGCCCCCAGCCCCCCATTAGCACCTTTGGACTAAGTACTGCCCTCACTCGCTATACTCCTCTTAAAATGCAACTGCTACTTAAAACAATAGTAAAAGAAACACTCTATCCCTGGGGTGAATTAGTGAGACTCAGCTTCCCTGAATAGAGGTGCCTGGGACAAACAGGGGACAAGGGACGGGGGTGAGGGGGCATGTGATGGGGTAAGTAAACGACTTTCATAGAGGTAAGCTGGAAGGCTCTAAACACTGCTGCCCACTTCAGGCATCCCTTTCCAAGGGGCAGAAACCTAAAGTACCACCACCACCCCGCTGCCCCACGGGGTGGGCCCAGAGGGGATGCGCAAGCGGTTCTCATCACTCAATTGTCAGAGGCCCTTTTCTCCCCAGCTGGCCCTGTCTGCACTGGCACACAACAGAAAGTCTCCTGCCCAATGTTTTATTCATTCTCGCGAATACGGGAACAGGCTCTCGGATCGACACCGGTGGCCGCTGAGTCCTGTCGGCAGGCCTCCTCCCGGCAGAGGCCCGGGCTCTTCAGGCTTCCAAGGAGGTGTCCGGACTTGGGAGAGCTGCCTTCTAAGGCAGCAAATACGGTTGGCAACAGACATTCATTTTTAAAGCTGTGAACACGTCCTGGCCTTTCAAAGAGCTGAAAGTTCTGGGGAAGCGGGGTGCGGAGGAAGACCCCTTCCTGAAGGTTCTGTGTGACGGTGATCTGAAAGGGCGGTGCCCGCTGCTGCCCGTCAGCGCCCACAACCGGGCTCACTGGTACTGCAGATAGTTTTTGAGAGACTGAGGCAGAGGCAGGGAGCCGATGTCCCGCAGGCGCGGGCGGCCCAGGGCCAGGCGTATGGATCTCCGACACAGGTCCATCAGCGGCAGGGGCTCGGCTGCAACGAGAGGGAAGTGGGTTAGTCTCGCCAGTGCCTTCCTAACACATTCTCTCCCCCCCACTGCACACAGCCGGCCCACCTGCTTCTCTGGGCTGACTCCCAGGGCCCGGGGCTCCTCCTCTGAGAAGCCTTCTAGGGTTATAATAGAAGGAGGCCCAGAGCAGGGTTTTTCAAACTGTGGGATGCAACTCGTTAGACTGAAAAATGGTAAAATCAATGCAGTGGCTGACCAGCAATTAAAAAAAAAAAAAAGAACCCTGGCTGGTGTGGCTCAGTTGGTTGAGCCTTGCCCCAGGCCCCAAGAGGTCACTGGTTCGATTCCTGGTCAGGACACATCCCCCATAGGGGGCATGCAGAAGGCAGTCGACTGATGTTTCTCTTTCTCATTGATGTTTTTCTCTCTCTCCCTCTCTGTTCCTCTCTAAAATCAAGAAAAACATGTTTTAGGAAAAGAAAAGAAAAAGGAAATGGAGAGCAATGCCCGTATCAAGGGTAAATATTGTCCCATGAAAGTTCTGTCTCTGATGTAGGGGTCTAGTGTGTTTCAATGTACAAAACACTCACTACAGGTCTTGATTGAAATGAAAGTAGCTGACCTAGAGGGCCCTAAAGGAGGCTTCCTCTTAGAAACAGGTTAAGTCGGGGAGGCTGTTTTAAACGTCTTTGAACCCTCTATAACCTCCTCTGAGGGTCAGCAGAGGGATGCATTTTCTTCTAACACTTAGTTCTGGAAACACTCATGAATTAAAATTCATGGACCCTCTGGACATAGGTCCAAACCTAATGAAGTCCATTGCAGACACACTTGTGAAGCTCTTATTTTCTTCAAGGCTCTCTGCTTAGACTCAGCCACGCTGGAGACACCCTTGGAGGTGGAGAAAGACAAGTGGTCTGGGAGTTTAAACAGGTGAATAATTGGAATAGAGGGTAATATATGTATGCAACAGTTCCTAAATGCACAAGGATAGATCCTCAGCAGTTCAGAAAGAATACATAAATGGGGTTTTGAAGGATGAATAGGAGTTTAATGGGATGTAAGTTGGGACAGGTGTTCTGGGAAGAGAGAACAGGCACAGAGGCATAAAACAGGGCAGACTGAGAGGTCTGGAGGGAGAGGAACACTGCTGGTCAGCTAGATCAGGAATGAAAATGACATGTTCACATGTGGTCTCAACAGCTGCACAAGGCCTAGCTTCCTCAAGCCTATAGGAACATGCTGGAGGCCCAAAGCCGCATCTCAACACTTTTTTTTGGGTAACAGAACAAGTGATATGTTAAAAGCCTTCTATAATGTGCTAAGATACAATAAAACTGTAAGTGGTAAGTACTAACACAGAGTTGAGATGGGAATAACATCAAAAGGGATGGGAAGGTGGTCAAGAATGTGTTTTATAGGAATTTTCATTTACTGGAGCTGTGATGTTAAACGAGGAGAGACATTAAGATTGAAACAGGACTTGGCTGGCGCATCGGAAGCCCTGCATGAGCGTGAATCCAGCTCTCCTCCTGAGGGGAGGCCACACGGCGGTGCATCTGCGTCAGTGTTAGCGGCTTCACACACGTTCACCTCTGTGTCCTCTTTTGAGCCTCATACAAACCCTCGCAGTTGGCCAGGGAAGCCTGGGCACCCCCTCTTTCCGGGCCCAGAAGGCAGATCACTCACGCCCCAGACACATGGTCTCACAGTCGCGGTGCCTAGGCCAGTACTCGACACTCCCCTCAAGGCACCCCCACCTCTCCTCTGGCAACACCCCTGAGCCCAGCTCCCCTGCTCCCTGTCCTCCATGTGGCCCTGATCTAAGCTTTGCACCCCGCCCCCAATCATGCCTCTGCAAACCCCTTGCCCGCCACTGCCTAACCCAAATCCTCCCATCTTTGACTTCTTGCTGGAAGCAGACCTCCCCACTGCAAGTTTCCACGATCTCCTTTTAGTTCCCACAGCACCAAGGCTTGCCGCAGGACACAGGATGCTGGAGGAAGAAAACCAATAGTCCTTACTTAGTGAGCAACTGTTACCTACCTACCGGGCAGTGTGAGGATGACATATAATTGCAGTTACTCATTACTGAAGGTCTGTTATGTGTCCAGGCACTGGCTATGCTGTTTCTTTGTATCAACTCATGTGAATGCATGTGTGTCACTCATCACAACAACCTCTTGGGGCAGGAACTATTATTATTATCTCCATTTGAGGAGGAGAAAATCGAAACAGAGAGGGTAAACCACTTGCCCAAGGACACACAGTGAGTAAGTGGCAAAGCCAGGAGTTGAACCCAGGCAGCCGTAAGCGGGAACCTGTCTTTTATCTTAACCACATTTACTGAGCATCTGTTGTACCCCCTTTGCTCTGCGAGGCTTATCTCATTTAGATGTGATCCCACTGTAGAGAAAAGGGACCTGAGGCTCGGAGAAGTGAAGAGGCTTGTTCAGAATCACACAGCCCCAGAGCCTCTACCTTAAACACCGTGCGACCGTAGAAGGTTGCTGCTTCGAGGTAAGAAGCGAAGGAGAGGGTCACCTGCCTTCCAGGCTCGCAGTCCGCACGCAGGCTCTTACTCTCCAGCTCTAACCTCTTTCCAGCTCACCACAACCCCCTCTTCTGCCATGAGTTCTGCACCCGCCGAAACGGGCTGCCCTGAAACCAAGAAGCCTTTTCTGCCCTCATGCCCACGCATTCCAACGTGGACACCCACCAGCCACAATCCCATCCCCATGCTCCCTGGGGCCAGCCCCACCTCCTCTGACACAGGTGGCTGGGATCTCCAGGACTTGGGAATCCCAGATTTTCAGTTCTAGCTCTGCCACCTGTAAATCTGTGCCTTTGTGAAGGCTACTCTGAGCCCTCGGTTCTGCATTGTTGGTAAAGCGAAGCAACGGTCACAGGTTTGCGGAGAGGATGAAAGGAGAGGATAGGTGCACGGTGCCTGGCCCAGGACACAGAAGGCGGTGGGCGCTCAGCCCCGAGCACACTGCACTGAGCACCGCCCTCTTCCTCTGTTCGGACAAACACGGCAATGATGTTCCATTCCATTCATTTAACAATGAATTAGTTACAAGGGGACTGTGAACTTCCTAAAGGACACGACTCTGACTCATATGTCTTAGGACCCACAGCTCCCCAGCCTGAGCTAAATAAACTGACCTGCTGCTTCGGGGCATCTCCACTCTAACTGTTGGAAGCTACTGAAATAAACTGCTCCTACCAGGCAGCCTGTCTGTCCCAGCTCCCTCCTCGCCTCTCCGTAAACTCCCTAAGAACAGGGCATGTTTTAATTGACAAGAGGCTTGTGGTGAAAGTTCGATGAGTTAGAAAGTGTCGAGTGCTTAGCACAGTGCCCGGTGTCCAGTAGGGGTTCGGTAAGCACCACGTCTAGCTGTCGCCTTCACATCCAGGCCTTGGTTCGGTTGCCCTGGTGAAGAAGCGCTCGGGAGGACTGTTAACAGGATAGGATCTGGCTGGCAGACAAGTGTTTCCTTCTCTGATGGGAGATGGGCTTCATTTTATATCAGGAAAATTCTGAGCGGTTAAAGTTTGATAATCTTTGTCAAAGCTTAAAAGCTTTCTTAATCATTTCCATGCTCTAGGCACGTACTAGGTCCTCAGTGCCCCAAATGCATAGCCTGGTCAGCAAACCCAGCTCCCTGCATGTCCCCTGCCCAGTAGGAGCTGCACAGAAGGAGAGGGGGCCTGTTATCATCACCCCTCCGCAGCCGCTGACATCAACCCAGGGCTCAAACTCCAAAGGGAGAGGAAAGAGGGGCTGCAGTTCAGAGCGTGTCTTTAAATCTAAATGCGAAATGTCAACCATTTCTCCGACTTTCTGATGACTGCACGGCAACCCCATCGTGCACAGAGAAAGGTCTTGGTGCAGCTGCAAAACTTCCAGAGCTCTGAGGCTGCCCCGTGTTGGCCAGGGCCATCCCTCCAACTGCGCCTACTCACCGCCTTGGCTCTGGAACTTCTTAGAACTGTCAAATGTCAAGGTTTAGAAAGGATCGCCCAGGTGGGAAGAGAAACAGAATTCTCCAGCACGAGAGCCATCCTCAGACATCTAATTGTAATGTTATCTTCTGACTAAAGATAAAATTATAGCCCTGGCCAGTTTGGCTCAGCGGTTAGAGCGTCGGCCTGCGGTCTGGAGAGACCCGGGTTCGGTTCCCGCTAAGGGCACGTACTTCGGTTGCAGTTTGTCCCCGGCCCTGGTTGGTTGTGCGGGTGGCAGCCACTCGATGTGTCCCTTCACGTCGATGTTTCTCTCTCTCCCTTCCTCTCTCTCCCTCCCACTCTATCTGTACAAAAAATGGAAAAATATCCTCGGGTGAGGGAAAAAAAAAGATAAAATTACAAAGGAATCGTTTGCAAAAATGAATATCCAAATGGCCAATAAATATACGAAAGTGTGCTCAACGTCCTGAATCATCGGGATGGACAAATTAACATTATAATGTGACTTTATGAGATGCCAACCTGTATGGCTACAATGAAAGTAAGACAATAGCAAGTGTTGGTGAGGATGTGGAGCAACTGGAACTCTCATAATGCTGCGGGTGGGCGGGTCAACTGGTACACCCACTTGGGGAAACTAGAGGCATCTCCTAAGGCTGAACCTATGGCCAGCGGTTTTACTCCTGGTGTACACATGTTCACCAAAATGCACGTACATGAGTGCTCATGGAGGCACCCAACTGCAAGCAACAACTTTACTGTCCACCATCAGTGGGATGTGTAAATAAACTGTATCTTCACAGTCAACTATTAATCCACAACGAAAATGAAGGAACCACAATTACATGCAAAAATACGGATGAATCACTCAAAGATAATTTTGAATGAAAGGAAAGTACATTTTGCGTGACTTCATCTGTATTGAGTTCAAACACACAGGGGATGATGCTAGGGCAATGGTGATGTTGGGGGAGCGGTGACTGGAAAGGGGTCTGAGGGAGCTTCTGGGGGGACTAGTATTGTTCTGCTCCTTGACTTGACCTCTGCCTAT